TTTGTGTGGCTAAGCAGGAACTCAGGCCTTGACCAGGATGCTGCATCCCAGAGGGCAGGGAGCTATGTTAGAGGTAAAGTTGAAAAGATAGTCCAAATTGAATCACCAATCCAAAAGGTCTAGGCAAAATCTAGTTCTATCTATCTATCTATCTATCTATCTATCTATCTATCTATCTATCTATCTATCTATCTATCTATCTAGAAAACGGTTTCAGGAAAGTGAGTAATAGAGCAAGGCCTACATCTATTCCTAAGATGAAAAATAGTTAGCATGTAGCTTCAGAAGTCTTATTTATGATGTCTCATCTGTTTGAATGAGGAGTGGGGTTAGGTAAATAGGGAAAAAATGATATTCCAAGTAGAAATATTCTGCAGACAACAGAAACATGACTTAAAATTCCACCTGTGTGCAGCAGACGCCCACATTCTGATACTTCTTCTCAATTCTAGACCTATATAGCCAATTATCTATCAGAAATCTTTACCAAAATAGCCTTTATACACTTCAAATTAGAATAATCTTCCTTCACCATCAAACTATCAGTGCCATCTGAGATAGATACCATATATACTCGAGTATAAGCTGACCTGAATATCAGCCAAGGCACCTAATTGTACCACAAAAACTGCAATTAAAATGTGCTGAAAAACTAGCTTATACACTAGTATAAACAGTAAACAGCTCAATAAATCAAGTCACATGAATTTTTTGGTTTCCATGGCTAGACTAGAGGATGTACACTGGTGCTGATAGGAACTGGACACACAGGGAATCCAGGGCGGATGATCCGTTCAGGATCAGTGGTGTGAGTGGTGATACTGGGAGGGTGGAGGGCGGGTGGGCTGGAAAGGGGGAACCGATTACAAGGATCTACATGTGACCTCCTCCCTGGGGGATGGACAACAGAATAGTGGGTGAAGGGAGATGTTGGACAAGGCACGATATGACAAAATAATAATTTATAAATTATCAAGGGTTCATGAGGGAGGGGGGAGTGGGGAGGAAGGGGGAAAAATGAGGAGCTGATGCCAGGGGCTTAGGTGGAGAGCAAATGTTTTGAGAATGATGAGGGCAATGAATGTACAAATGTACTTTACACAACTGATGTGTGTATGGATTGTGATGAGAGTTGAATGAGCCCCTAATGAAACGAAAAAAAAAAAAAGAGGAAACCCTCACCAAGATGGACTGATTCAGTGGCCACAAAACAAGCTCAACCATGAGGTTGTGAAGACGGGACAGGCCCTGCAGTGCTCTGTTCTATGGCACAGAGAATCCCTGTGAGCTGGAACCGACTCAACGACCCTAACAAGCTGAAGTCGAGGGTTCAAATGAATTCTTGTGCATGTGGATATCCAGTGTCCACAGCACTGAATGGTCTTGGTATTTGGGTTTCATTTCAATTAACCATAAGTGTATGGGTTTATGTATTTATGGACACTCAATTCTATTCAGTTGCTCTATAGAGCTATATTTGTATTCTTTCCAACAGCTTTACTGGCATATAATTCACATGTCATGTAATTCAATAGTTCAGTCAGTATAAACCTATCTTTATGCTAAAAAAAGTTATGCTTACACTATACTGTAGTCCATGAAGTATGAACTGTCATTATGAAGTCTGAAACATTGTCAGAATGACCAAAATGTGACAGAGACATGAAGTAAGTATATGTGCTTAGTAAAATGCCACCTATGGACTTGCTTATCTCAGGGTTGCCACAAACCTTCAATTTGTAAAAAACATAAAATCTGCTTGCTAAAGCACAATAAAGTGAAGTGCAATTAAATGAGTTATGCCTATATCTCCTTTTTCGATAAAAAAAAAAACACATTTCTATACCGCTACCTATACCAGTTATCAGAAATACATTAGGAAAGGCCTATGAAATGCTAAGGAACCTGTGGTAGGAAGCTAATATAAATGTGGGATAAAAACAGGTACAAAAGCAATAGTTCCTGGGGAAGGTGAGAATGGTATCTCAAGTTCAATGTGGCAAATTCAGATAAGTAATGTGGCAGTTAGATTTTAAGTCAATTTGCATCAGTGAGAAAGTGTAGTAGCATATTCCAAGCTATCAATGAGGTCACAGTTTGATGATGCCTCCTTGGGAGTAAGGCCTTTTTATAAGAGGGACAGTGAGAAATTCTTTCCCTTCTTGGCTTCCTCCTCACAGGGACTCTGTCTGCCTTGGGGGCAGCCCCATGTGGGCTGCCAAGATAGAGAACTGTTGGTACTCTGCCATGTTTCCACTGACCTTGGATTCATGCAATTCTGCACCCACCAGCTGGGATCTCCCTGCTTCACTTCTCTGCACCATCTGCCTGCAGCTATGTGAGTCTGAAGAGGGCTCGGCCAGCATTGGACTCATAGACTTGAGTTGGACTGGGCTGGGCTGCCTTCTTGATATAAAGTTCTTTTTAATATATATATTAAACAAATGTATAAATGTGCTTGACACAATGGATGTATGTATGGATTGTGATAAGAGCTGTATGAGCCCCCAATAAAATGATTAAAAAAGAATACACATCTTAGTGTCACTGGCTTTGTTTCTCTAGCCAACTCAGCCTAATACAAATAATAATGTACTGGGATGCGAGGTGTTGACAAGGATGAAGGGTTGCTCCTCTGCAGTGGTGGTATAGAGGAGGAGGAGGTTGCTTTGGTGGCAGTGCTGGTGGGGGAAAAAAGGCAGGTACCATGTTGTTGTTGGGTACCATTGAGTTGTTGACTTTCATTGGGTACAATGACCCTATCTATATACAACAGAATGAAACTGTGCTCAGTCCTGCGCCATCCTCACAATTGTTACTATGTGAGCCCATTGTTGCAGTGATTGTGTCTCACCAAGGTCTTCTTTTTCACTCTACTTTCCCACGCATGATGTCCTTTCCCAGGGACTGGACTCTCCTGATAACATGTGCAAAGTATGTGAGATGAAGTTTCATCATCCTTGCTTCTAAGAAGCATTCTCCAAGACAAACCTGTTTGTTCTTCCAGCAGTCCATGGTACTTTCAATACTCTTCACCAACACAGGTCCTAATCAACACGGTCAGTTCACAAAAAGGCAAGAGAGCTTGGAAAGAGGCAACCAAGCATATTGCTGGAAACAAATTCTGACTCACGGTGTTTCTATTGGACAGAGTAGACCTGCTCCACAGGGTTTCCAAATCTGTACATCTTTTTGGTGCTGACGGCCACATTTTTCTGTCATGGAATGGTTGGTGGGTTTGAACTAAGAAATGTTTGGCTAGCAGCCAAGTGGTTTAATCACTATACCACCTTGAACTAAAGAATAATTCTATGAAATTCTATGAAAGGGAATAAGGTGTAAAAGTAGATTATAGCCCAGCTGTTGGGGTTAAGAGCTATACTTCTGTCTGGTGCTATAGAGAAGGTGGCTCTGGTGGTATAGTGGGTAGGTAACACATTGGTCTGCTAACAGTAAGATCAGTTCAAAACCACCAGCCAGCTCTGTGGAATTAAGATGAGGTTTTCTACTCCAGTAACGATTTACAGTCTTGGAAAAACCACAAGGGCAGTTAGGCTCTGTCCCATAGGGTCACTATGAGTTGGAAATGACTTGATTGCAGCTTGTTTGTTTGCATCGTGCTATAGGCTCTTCAAAGGCTCTACTTTAAGGAGACCAGTGAAGTAGAATAGCCTCTATATTGGGGGTGAGAAGAGATACAGAGAACTATTCTTTGCTCATACCACTCAAAAAGAGAGCCCAGTTATTTCGTAAACACTACAACTTTTGAGTATGAAACAATAAAAGGTTATTTATGCTACTTTAGCAAGAGCTTCTAGAGGTTGGTGTATTTGAATAGCCTTGTTTCTGAGAAGCTGTCAGGTTGTTTTAAGTCTTGACTGGCTTGGCTGGACAAGAAGAAAAAGTAAGTTGTCTGGCCCATGGATCACTGTATCACATAGGTTATCCAACTGGTCTCATTGCAACTTTCAAACTAGTATCAAATCTCTTCCTAACATAGATACATAGTAAAAACTAATCTTCTAAAATAAAAGTTATCTTCTTAATAGAGAGGTAATACACCTAAACATAAAAGGCATGACTTCTGTTGTCAGATGAACTTGAATTATAACATCTAATTCATAGACAGTAATGAAAATTAATTAACCTATATAAAGTATTTTGCATAATGGCTGGTATATAGTAGGTTCTAACAAACAAATTGAAAAAATTTGCTCATTTAACACTAAACCACTTCCAGTGGTATTCTGTGCTTATGTCTCTACAACCTGGCTTCATTATAATGTAAGTATTTATTTCAGGTGTATCTGTGTTTTCTATTAGATTATAAGCTACTTGAAGGCAGGAATTATGTCATTTTATCATTTCAGCAACTAACATAGTTCCTTTCACAAGTTCTCAAAAATACTTGTTGAATGAATAAGTGATATAATCTCTCTTTCCACCAAGGCACCCCCATTATATAGCTCATAATAAGCACATAGCAAACAGATGCTCCTCAGAATAGCCCAGAAGTTATGTAGGATTCTGAAATGCCAGAAGAATTCTCATATCTATTTCATTTCACTGAATGGCACATTACATTGTGATTTATTTCACTTTTGAATATTTGGGGCTTCTGGAGACAAGGATTGTACAGTTAAATACTGTCCATAAACTAATACAAGATAACCTATCCAACCCAAACCAAACCCACTGTCATTGAGTTAATGCAACTCATTACAGGGTTTCCAAGACTGTGTAACTCTTGTCATAAGCAGACAGGTGCATCTTTCTAGGCTCGTCTTCACAAGTCAAGCAGCTAGTTAGCAATCAAATGCCTCACCCCAGCACCACCAGAGCTAGAAGGCCTCTAGAAAATAAGAGTTAAATAGTACTTGTATGAATAAAATGGATTAATTTTAAGTGATTGTAATTTCAACACCAGTCTAATCTCTAAATATGTACTATAAATATAGCAACAAATGTGACCTTTAGCAACTGAAATGTTGAACAATTACCATGCACTTGGTTGATTTCTGAGTTGGAGGATAGAATCTCATCTGCCAGTTTCTGTGCAGTAGGAAGAACTTCAGTGTGGTGAGCTGTTATTAAATATTGAATAAACTTCTGTAGCTGATCCCTATTCATCTGGAAAAGGGTTTCTGAGATAGGAAGACGCAATTTGACTTGATCTGGTTTACGGATCCTGTAGAGTGAAAGTGCTACCACATGAGCACAGTAGAATATGTCCTTGTTCCCACAGCCACATGTCACAGAAGTGATTTTGCATCGATCAAAACTGATGGCAACTTTGTAAGTCATTGCTGGTTCCGAAGCTGTGGCCGGCTCAGTTACTGTGCCACTCAGATGGAAACCTAAGGGGGAAAAAAAAGTGTGTTTAGAGAGATTCTATATTGAAAGACTTAAAGTTTTAAATTTTGTATTTAAATTAATTAATTTAGAAACTATCTATTGAGTATCTCCTATTTACAAGGCAAGCCCTGTCAGAGAAACAAAGGCCAATGAAACTCAGGCCTTTGAGGCATCATCAGAACAAAAAATCTTACTATAGTGAATGATGGGGGGAGTGCGGAGTGGAGA